ATTGTCTCCGACAGGTAAATAACTGTGGAGACAGTAATTTAGCAGTCAAGATAGTAATATTAATTAATATATATTTTTAAGAAAAAAAAGGTTAATTAACATTAAATTACTCTATCCGACAGTTAAATAACTGCTGAAGACAATAATTTAACAGCCAATACATTAATATTAGTTAAAATAGTTTTTTTTAGAAAAAACAAAATAAAAAAAAATCAAAGCCGGAGACCCTGCGATTGAGCTACCAGAAAAGAATTTCAGAACAAAAAAAAAAGTTTTGAAAAAAAAAAAAGAGTTAACGCCGGAGACCGTGGGTCTCTGGCGGTCTCCGGTGGTGGCGAGTCCAAATTGGGGTCAAATTGAAATTATGGTAAAAAAATGGTTAATTGGTGAAATTGGGCTAAATTAGTTAGTCGAGGTATGATCGTGGAATTTTTTATTTATTTGGGGGGCAAAGTTAAAAAATGACCAAAGTTAGGGGCAAAGTACAGTTAACCCTACTTTTAATTCTCTGGTTTAATAATGTAAGGTTAATAAAGTAATTTTACATGAAGTACGATGGAGTACGATCTTTGTACGATGTATTTTTACTGGGTTCGTACTTTAATTTATAAATTCATAGGTTCGTACTGGATCGTACTAGTTCGTACTTTAAATCAACGACTATAATTTTTTACTAAATATTTTCTACGCACCAGATTAAATCGTTTGGGTCCGAGTAGTACAACCCCTCTCGGATCCTAGACAACCCCTACTAGTTACTGCTACGTCTGGAATAATAATATTATAATAATATAAAGATTCCTACAAAATTACCCAAGTTTAGCAAAAACTAAGCACAACCGGAGACCGGCAATAGCCCGTAGCCACTCTGGGACACAAAGTGACTGATCTGACAGTACAATGATACCGAATCTGCCATTCAACAGTCACCTCAGATTCGATGTCTTTTCCATATTTAATTATTATTTTCACTTCAATAATAGCTTCGCCATTTCCTTTTCTTTTAAATAATTATTAGTCTTTTAAATAGTGAAAATTATTAAGACAAAACTCCAC